ACTCCAGAGTAACTGGCTCAAGACTCCAGAGTAACTGGCTCAAGACCCCAGAGTAACTGGCTCAAGACTCTTAGGGTAACTGGCTCAAGCCTCCAGAGTAACTGGCTCAAGCCTCTAGAGTAATTGGCCCAAGACTCCAGAGTAACTGGCTCAAGACTCCAGAGTAACTGGCTCAAGACCCCAGAGTAACTGGCTCAAGACCCCAGAGTAACTGGCTCAAGACCCCAGAGTAACTGGCTCAAGACTCCAGAGTAACTGGCTCAAGACTCCAGAGTAACTCGCTCAAGACTCCAGAGTAACTGGCTCAAGACCCCAGAGTAACTGGCTTAAGACTCCAGAGTAACTGGCTCAAGACTCCAGAGTAACTGGCTCAAGACTCCAGAGTAACTGGCTCAAGACTCCAGAGTAACTGGCTCCTTGGTAACTTGTTCGTATATAAAGTTACATTGGCTTACAACTGCAAAGGAGTTTTTATTAAGGCTACTTAACAAACACGCACTCATTTTTAAACATTTTGGTTTTTAAAGAATAGGTGTCACACTGAAAATTAGCGAGTAGGCGAAAGGAAAACACAGCTAGAGAGCTAAGGAGCTATTTATTTGTGGGATGTCATGCGATGTCGAAATGTGTTTTCAATTAATTCTTGTGGGGCGTCAGATGTAGGCCTAAATGGGTTATCAAATAAAGGGGAGGTCAAACGTAGGCCTACATGGGTTATCAAATACTTCTAAAGTATATTGACGATCATTACATCACATCATTACTCACGGGGGGGGGGGGGAGGGGTGGTGTGGGGGGGGGGGGGGGGGGGGGGTTGGGGGGGGAGGGGGGGCACATTTGTGTCTCTCAAGTGCAAGTGGATTCAGGTGAGACGACTCTCGTACCACTCCGAAGACAGATGTTGTCGAGAGTAGCCGGACATGACCATTGTATTGAGCGTTCTTCCTGTGACGTTTGGGGGCTTTGATTGTGTTACAGCAGACGTGTCCGGTGTTATTGAGGTTGGGGGGGGGGTGAGGGAAGGAAGGTGAATTAAAAATGACTCCACATTAATAACCGTCAACAGTTGAGTGCGCCTTAGGGGCCCAAAGTCAAAGTCCTGCCTGTTTGGGGCCTAGACCCAACATGAAGAGACAGGAGCCTATCACTCCATCAAACAACTGCTACATAACATTACAAAGAAAATTACTTCCCATTACGTACAATACATATATCTTATTCCTATTGTAATATTCCATAGACTTAGACAGTATAAATTGAGTTTTGCAAGATAAACTGTCACTGCCTGAAAATCCTAGAAGGGATCTGACATTTTGGGACACACATTTACAAACTTTCAGCGAGCAGACAGAAGATGATCACACACATTTACAAACTGTCAGCAAGCAGACAGAAGATGATCACACACATTTACAAACAGTCAGCAAGCAGACAGAAGATGATCACACACATTTACAAACTGTCAGCAAGCAGACAGAAGATGATCACACACATTTACAAACTCTCAGCAAGCAGACAGAAGATGATCACACACATTTACAAACAGTCACCCAGCAGGCAGAAGAAGATCACACACATTTACAAACTGTCAGCAAGCAGACAGAAGATGATCACACACATTTACAAACTGTCAGCAAGCAGACAGAATATGATCACACACATTTACAAACAGTCACCCAGCAGGCAGAAGAAGATCACACACATTTACAAACTGTCAGCAAGCAGACAGAAGATGATCACACACATTTACAGTCACCCAGCAGGCTGCGATCACACATAATAATATGTAGGACTGCAAAGATAACACTATATATGCGAAAAACCACCTATGTCTATGACTATGACCATGACTGAGTTCAGGACACCGTAATGAGATATAGTTTGTGTCCTTTTGTTTGAAGACGTATCATAGCTGAATGATTCATTGGTTATTCATTCAAGGGAATAGTAGAACAAGGTATTTCCTTCACACAGCTTGAACCCTGTCCTTCATTTATCACCTTTAATGTACTCAAACAGCTTCACGCTACTTTACAACACTTTGAGTTTGTTCTGTTCTCTCTTGTTTTAAAAAAAAAACAAAAAAACTTTGCCCCAACACAACCCTCTGCTTTGAAATAGCAAAAATAGAAGGAAAAAAAATATACACAAATTAATGTGTGACATATGATTAAATAATATTTACTTGAAATAATAAAATTTAATTAAACTATACAAAAATTCTGATTCCAGCATTCACCTTTTTTGCTATCACTAAAACCAGATTTCTGTTATCACCTCTAAAGCAGATCGTAGATATAACTTCAGCCAGATTGCAAAGAACACTTTTTTTTTTTTTTTACAACAATACAAACATTTTTTTATTTCATAAATGTTTGAGAACTAGAAAAAAGGAAACAAAGAAAACATGGCATATTTTTAATAACTTATTTATGTTTATTTTCTCTCGCTTCCATTGTACATTCTTTGCCTCACAAAGCCATATTCTTCCCTTGTACATTCTTTGCCTCACAAAGCCATATTCTTCCTTTGTACATTCTTTGCTTCACAAAGCCATATTCTTCCCTTGTACATTCTTTGCCTCACAAAGCCATATTCTTCCCTTGTACATTCTTTGCTTCACAAAGCCATTCATCCCTTTAATTCATTCCTTACTCCCTTTAATTCATTCCTTACTCTCCCTTACACTAACAGCAAACATTTAAATGAGATTTCAAAAAAAATTTCTTTCCAGTGTTTTGTTGTTTCTTTTTGTAGAGAGATGCAGAGAAAAAGAACTTTCAAAAGCTTCCTTTATAAAAATATAAGGTACAGCAAAAAAGTATATCAGGAAAAGACAGCAAAGACATATATCAGCAAAAGACATCAAATAAGTATATAAGAGAAAGACAGCAGGAAAGTATATCAGAAAAATGCAGCAGGGAAGTATATCAGGAAAAGACAGCAGAGAAGTATATCAGGAAAAGGACAGCAGGGAATGTTCACAGGAGATGTACATCAAAAGAGGGAATACAGGAAAGTGTACAAGAATGGGATGGCATAGTAAATAGTTTAACTCTAAACACAAATATAATATTCCGACAGAGTAGTAACTGCAAGATAAACTCTTTTCTACAATGGACACTAACTTAAACATAAATCATGTTAGCAGGTGGGAAAGTTTGTAGCTCTTGACATAATGCAGGGATCTAGAACTACACAACTGAGAATAAACAATACAACCATCCAGTCTAAGATATGTTACACTTATGCACTTTAATTATTAGTTTGCCTGAATAAACACTTGTACATCAAGCCCATAACATCAAACATTATAATTAAATCAAAAATAAAAATTACAAAAATCTTTAGCCCATATTTAACCCTGGCCAATCAGGAGATTCCCCATTTTAATATCCCGGCTTAATTGCTACTTCGAGTTTTCAAATGTTTTAGTCTTGTAAAGTTTTAACTGTCAAATTTCTGACTAGTACTCCACCTAACCGGAAAGAAACAAGTTAATGCCACCAGCAAATTAAGCCCCTTTTCTTGGCCTGATCAACATAGCAAGAAAATATTAGGGAGTGAGCTCCCTTGGCCTCACACCCTGCGAGTTTTGTTGTAAGTTGTGTTCAGATTTCTTAATAAAAAAGATTTCAGATTATCTGGGGTTTGGATTAGGCCGCTACAGGGTTGGATCTTATAACAGAGATTTAACACAATTTCTGAAGGAAATAATTTATCACTATTAATAAGTTATCTTGACACCACTTATAAGTTATCTTGAAACAGCTTATAAGTTATTGTGACACAGCTTGTAAGTAAATTCTGATTTGGATAGTTTCATATCATTCAAATGACCTCTGGATAAAATTCAGATTATTCGTTTTCATAAATATTCCTATATCACAATCAAACTGTCTGAATATCACTCAAGGAAATGTTTGACAACTGTCAAAAGTCTAAGCCAAGTGTTTGGCACAGTTTATTCCTAGGCAGACTCTTGAAGAAGTTTGTAGCTGTAAACACTTCCGGATTGAAAAGTAGGCCGAGGTCGACCTTCCACAGTTTTACGCTTGTTTGATGATGGACCATTTTTCTCGTAATCTGAGATCAGTGCACCATAACCCCCACCACCAGGTGTTTCAAGGTGGAAGACGTCCTGTGGATAAAAAGCAATAAGTTTGAATTCATGGAGAAAAAAACAACAAAAACCTATGGTAACTGGATGTGTAGAAACATGAGCGTCAATTTTTGGGATCACTTCAGAAATATTTCATACTTTTGAATGACTCAAATAGCATTAAAAGTTATTGTGATGTCAGCAAAGTAACATTTTTTACTGACAACAACAATGGCGATCATTTTCATTTGGTATTTTCATTTGTTCTGTTTGTAGAGGACGGCTCTTAGCCAAAACGTTCAGATCTTATTGTCCTGTCTTTTGATTCAAACTACCACAGACCTTGTTCTACCATTTCATTCACACAGCTTGAACACATCTTATTGTCCTGTCTTTTGATTCAAACTACCACAGACCTTGTTCTACCATTTCATTCACACAGCTTGAACACATCTTATTGTCCTGTCTTTTGATTCAAACTACCACAGACCTTGTTCTACCATTTCATTCACACAGCTTGAACACATCTTATTGTCCTGTCTTTTGATTCAAACTACCACAGACCTTTTTCTACCATTTCATTCACACAGCCTAAACGCTGTCCTTCCTTTATTGAAATTTGAACCCAAATAATGGTTATCCAGTTTAAACATTTGTACAAGAATAACAGTCTGTAATTTTAAAGGAACTGAGTGAAACAAAGTATTGGAAAACTGGAAAAAAAAGGATGCAACAAAAAAACGAACGTATTGGCAAGAAGCCTCTTCAGCAAACAACAGCTGTGATTTAGTATCCAACAGGACAGCAAGAGGAATGCACGTTAAATGAAAATGACTTACTCCTGGCCCTACTTTGACAGAGTTTTTGGCTCCTAGGTCAATTATCCTCCCATCAGCATAAAACATCAAGTTTCTACCTCGACTTCCAGGCAGACCTCCTGTGGAAAGCATGGACGGGTGAAATCAGAAAACAAATTTTATTACTAAATTTTGACTCATAATAAAACTTCTAGAAGAGGGAGGAGCTGCTTTTCATTTAACAATTGTGGGACATGATAATATTTTAAACAACATTCTGGCTATTAACACCATTATGTATCAGTGAACTATCTAATTTTAACATTATTTCACATCTTAGACTCAAAAAAGTATAAGCATATGTATAGGCCACATAAAATACTTACAACATACCATTAAGTACACACTTCCCTGCCATAGTGCTACCCTGTTAAAAAGAAGAGCACGACCGGGGGTGGGGTAAACGACCATTAAAAACTGCAAGCTTTACCTTCAAGCCCGTATGGGGAAAACACTCTTCTTTCTGTCAAAATCGACAGCATGAATGGACGGCGGAAAAGCAGCTCCCTGACAACTCCATCTCCACCGTTGTAAAGGCCTTGACCTCCTGACCCATGATTTAACTTAAAACACTGGACCACAACAGGGTACCTGAAGAAAGATCATCAGTTTCTTATAAAAAAATCCATGAAACGCTGAGAACAAATGAAATGAGTCTAGATCAGAAAGACAGAAGTTCAAGCACTGAAAATATTTTATGACTTCAGAACTGTCACGCCCAAAAAACTGTGACCTATGTAGAGCGAGTAGCCTATAAAAATTTTCATTTAAACTTTTACTTAGTCTTTTTATTTTTATTTAACATTTTTATGTAACATTTTTTAAAATTTAAGCTTTTTATTGAAATTTTTTATTAACTTCTTCAAAATTTAAACTTTTTACTTAATTTTTTTAAATTTAAATTTTTTAATGAAATTTAAAATAAAAAAAAAGACTTTATTTAAACTTTTTAGCCCTTAATCTTATTTACGTATTTTAAATTTTATAGTTTGAACATTCACACATTGAGCATTTTATTTTTAATAGTTATGTTGACTAGAGAATTTATTTATTTCAGTCTTTAATGACAATTTTAAAAAACAACAAAAAATCCCTATAAAATGCAACCCATAATATCTGTCCTAAAAAGTGAGATAATCACCTTTTCTCTACTATTTCTGGATCTGTAATTCTAGTATTGGTCATGTGAGTGTGGACACCACTCCGTCCATGCCAGGTTGGACCCTGGAAAGTAAAGTAGACTTTGAAGTAAAATAACATGTAATACGTTTATTGACTTCAGATATTTTCTTAGTATTTATTAATGAACCATTTCAGAGGTTTTGTCATTTTCCGGTCCTTTGCTTTTCTACAGCTTTTTCGAATTTTATTTTTTTTGGCGCTGTTTTTCATGCCGTTGTACAGTTTTTTCTCTGTTTACTTTTAGTACAGTTCTTGATCCCAACAGGTTGGCATGTATGATCTACCCACAGTATTCTACTTCACCAACTAAAACTTGAGTACACCCCCCCCCCCCTTTCCCTTTGAAATTTTTCCACCACAGTCGGCAGACTACCTGACCTTACGAGAAATCTTGTACCAACAGGTTGGCATGTATGATCTACCCACAGTATTCTACTTCACCAACTAAAACTTGAGTACACCCCCCCCCTTTCCCTTTGAAATTTTTCCACCACAGTCGGCAGACTACCTGACCTTACGAGAAATCTTGTTCTGAAATCTTGAGTATTTATTATATAATTGTCCTTTAAAGTAAGAACGATTGGTCTAAATAATGCCCTTGTTGTAAGTTTTAGCAAACTGCAAGACTGCTACATCTCAGAGAGTATTGGATTGAATACCACAAACTACTTCCTACTTGAGGGAAACATATTTTCAACTCATTTTTACTCAAAGAAATTTAATTTAAAATATACAAGATACACCTGATATGTGATGAAGTAAAAAAGAAAAGAAACTAAAGAAATGCAAAACTCACAGCACCAGCTCCACCAGCCACAGTCTCGTAATAACCAACTTTCTCATCTCCGAATGTTATATTGTTCATACATCCCTGGGAAAAGTTTAGATAAAGATTCAGTTGTCACACGGGTGTTACGAGCACAGTCAAACTTCATAACAGCAAGTCAACAGTTATTGTTTGAAACATTTCTATTCTTAAAAACTTTTTGTTTAAAAGTCAGATTAAGTCAAAGATATGTAACAATTGTGTATAAAAATGTATATAATTCTGCTACAATTGTAACAGATATAACAAACACTTGCACGAATAAACAAAACATTAGAAGATTGAAATTTAGCAAAAAAAATCTTAAACTTATTTTGGTTAAAATGATTTGTTAACAAATTAAATTGGAAAGAAAAACAACAAAATAAGCCAACTGTAACATGTCACTCTGGTTCCAACCTGAGAGGCAGCACAGACGCCAAAAGCTTTAAGTACCACATCCACTATCCTCTGTGACGTCAGGACGTTGCCCCCCACCACTGCTGCCTCCTCTGATGGATCTATGATACTTCCTTTAGGTATAACCACTTGAATAGGAGCCAAGCAGCCCTGTTGGGAAGACAGATGATAAGGATATTATTAGAGCCAAGCAGCTGTACTGGGAAAACAAAGGATAACTGTATCAGTAGAGCCAAGCACTCTATGTACAAATGACAACCATATCAGTCATATCAGACAATAATCTGAAGTTTCTTTGACCTTCTTTGATAGACAATGCTCTAATTCTTCTATATGATCCTTCACCTGTATCATACAACTGCCAAATAGAAATTCAACCAGAAAAATGGATAAAGAAGCTGTTGTTAAGAAATGCCGTGACCACTAGACTCACCCTACACCAAATCCCTATACAAGCCATACTATAACAAACGAAGCTTTGTTGTTGAGCCTTTCTTCTCACAGCTCATTCACTAGGGCTTCATTATACATTCAGAAAGTATTTGAACAATTATGAATTTATAAGAAAGTAAATTTATTACCATTTTATTTGGGATTACCGGTATTCTTTTAGTTGTCTCAGGTTTAAAAAAAATAATTGTTTTAGTCATGAAGAGCAAATTGAGAAAATTGAAACAAATTTTTCACTCAACTGCCCTGTAATTAAATGGACATTCTTGATGCTAAAATAGACATTGACTGAGGAGCATTCCATGAAATAAATTATAAAAAAATAGCAGAGGTTGCTTTTTAAACAGGAGATATCAAACATAACAATAAATACATGTAAAAGACAAAAGTGGTATTTTTGTATACACAGACATGAGTTACCTCCACGATGATGGGGAAATTCACTTGACCTAAAAAAAATTGTATTCAGTGGTCAAGTTTTGAGTAATTCACATGCTAGCTTATCTTACTTTTTTGTCTTCAAACGTACAAAAACAGAACCAACAAATGAAGTCCCGAAATTCTCTAGCCTAAATTGGTTGAAATGTTGATTTTGCAAAGGGGGTTACCTGATTGAGAGGCACATCGTGTCCAACCATGCACCGCATGCAGTAGATGATGGCTGACAGAGTGATGGCCCTTGGTGCATTGGTGTTGCCATGAACTTGGTAATCTGTTCCGCTGAAGTCAAACACCGCTGTCCCCTGGGGAACATCATGTAAAAAAAAAATATCCTTGGTATTTCAGAAAAGTTCTTTGCTTCTTTGTTATGAAGACAATGTGGCGTCCTTGAAAGTGGGTGGTCATCGGTAACGAAAGGGTTAGCAATGCAGGAAGAAATGATCTAATTCCTCTCAATAACTTATTTCATTTATTCAAAAAAAATGTTATTAAAAAAAAAAAATTAAATGTCTGATGTGACACCACAATCTTAAAAACAACGGGAAGGGCTTGAAAAGAAATTTTAGTCTAGAGAAAAATTTATGTTCATTAAAAGAATAACAATTTTAAAAAAAATGGTTTACTCACTCTTTTTAAGTTTCCAATATTAAATAGATAGAATAAATAGAATTCGATTACTTAAAATAGGTAACATACAGAAAAAAATAATAGATCCCAGTATTGCAGATAGAGTCAATTGTCACAGCAACAAAAAAAATTGTTGTTACTGTACATGAGGGATTCAACCAATGCTCAAAAAAATGGTAAAATATGTGTGAAGTGTTAGTACAGCGGTAGAAATTGTGTACCTCTTTCTCATCAATTTTAATCAACAAACAGATTTTGCTGCCATGGTCCATGAAGTCCTCAGCATATAGCTCATTTTTTCCTGTTCTAGCTTTTGTTTTTCTTGCTATCTCTCTCAACATCTCCTTAACAGCAACTTCTGCATTCTCCTGTGTACAGAATACATGGTGAAGAAATTAAAATAATTTCATAATACAAGATTTTTTTTACATACATGAAAAAAATCAACTAAACTGAATAAAGAGATATCACAAATTTAAAACAAAACCCTGTCCACTACTATCCTGACTGATCCCCACCCCCTCTCTGACTGATAAATGATGCTGCTGGGTGCCATCCATGGCTTGACATGTAAATAGCTCAAGGTGGCAGGGTGATTAATTTTTTTTAAAAACTTTTTTTAAATTAAATAAATTTATGTAACTTTTTAATGTCACTTTTTTTTTTGCCAATATTTTTATGCAAAGCAAGATGAGCCCAGCCCCAGGCTGGGATACAGTGCTATATAAGACAGCTGTAACAATAATAATAAACTACAAGTTTTTGCTAATCTTTACACTCTTATAAATAAAAAAAAGATACTACACAGTTACAATTAATGTTACCCAGTGAATTTAAAAAAAAAAAAAGTGTAAAATTTAAAGACAAGTGAATAATTAACCTGAATATATTTCATGTAAGTCTGAACCACGTCCAGTCCATACTCATCCATGAGCTCAGTTATAAGCTTGATGCCCTGGGGATGAAATCATAACCTTAACTTGATTTAAAGATACACAGGCGTCAATCAAATTATCAGCTAAATTTCTAGGGATGAAATCATTCAACATGATGCAAATTTTAAACATTTACATTTAGTCCTTGATTCAAAGTTTCAAAGACATCAGCCGAGAAAAAAATAATTCCTTAGTTAAATTAGCGATACCTATATTATATTGCGATTTAAAAATAACACTTCTTTTATCATGTTACTTCTATGTCACTGGTTGGCAACCTGAGGCTCTTGTAATTTTATTACTGTATGCTTAATTTGATTTCAAAAAAAATATCCATAATGTCATTTAAACAATCTGTGGCTTCTTAACAATTTCCCTTGCAGATATGATTTATAAAATGGCTGTTGAGTACGGAAGTCCATTGATAATTGTTGCAACTGGATATTATGTTTTTAAGAGATTAAAATCAGTTAGTGAACGCTCTTCCCGCGCTTGATTTGGTGATGTATTTTTATGCTTATTATGATGTATTGTCTAGTCGTTTTGTGACGTATATTATGTTCGTACAGCAGTCGTTAAAGGAACTTTGTGGAAGTAGGTTATGTTTTATTTCTCTCTGATAGCGAGCTGTGCTATACATATGCATGTGGAAATAACAGTCTGTCAAGTTAAATTATACATTAAAGTTCCATTTACTATGAAAAAAAGGACTTGAGTTGATTCAGTGCTAGTACGATGTATTACAATGTGTGAAAGAACTTGATGAATTAACGAATCTAGTACAAATAGGAGTTTGACAATGGCCCTTCGACTCAACAAATTTTTTATGGACCACTGGTCTAATGATATGATAACACCGCATCAACCTCTAATCATATCATGTTTTGCCTGTCTGATTTGAAGACACGGTTTAAGGAATAACCACAGAGTTTTAAGAAGCTTTCAACTGTAAATGTACAAGAATGGGGACGAAGGAAAATGCCTACCCTGTGGTTGGCAGCCACCTGGGCTTTCAAGTCACTGAGGTTGTCATGCAGGTTTCTTGAGCCACTGCTTCCTGGGTACTTGGCTGGCTCATTGAAGGCTTGGACTACCTCTGATGTCAGAGGTCAAATAACATTAGGGAAGGAAAAATCTCAGCATGACTCTTATCTAAATTAGTGTTTTTTGGGGGGAAAGTTCACAGGTGTGTTGTAAGATTTTGAAATATTAAATTAAAATTGATGTAAAATAAAGAATTTTAAAAACTTGCAAGACTTTTTTTTTCTTTCTTTCAAACAATGAAATATGAGATAACAAGACACTTATGAAATTAATTTTAATTTAAGCATCAAAGCTCAGAAAGTAGTTTGTGATGGGCTTTTTTTGTTATTGTTTTGAAACAGGATATCTTTTTCTTAACATGTGAATGGTGTTTTGCAGAATAAATTAGAAGTGAGTTATAAGATACAAACAATTTGAAACCACTAAAATTAACAATACTTTTTGGAGACAGCTTTTGTAAGTTTATTTGCATTTTTAACAGCCCTTTTATCAGTTTTGTTTATCTAATCAAAATGTGAATTATAAAGATTAAATGATAATTGAGTTTTGTTCAGCAACTTTGAAATAAATTCATCGGACTTAAGATTTTAGGCTACTTAAAGATTAAATTGTGTTAATAAATAAGATGGGAAACCAACCTTTCTCCTTGAATTCTCCGTTCTCCACAAGTTTGAAAGACTTAAATACAGCTCCTTCTTCATAGATGGACTTTGAGTGGGGCGGCATGGAGCCAGGAGTTATCCCCCCTATATCTGCGTGGTGACCTCTACTGGCCACAAAGAAAACAGGTTTTGGTTGGTCCTTGAAAAACACCTGTAATTAAAATATACAATAAATCGACCTTAAGAAATTATATTTTTTTAAACATTAATTTTGATGGACACATGTTATTTGTTGGGAGATGTGACTTACTGGAGTAATGAAGGCCAGGGAGATGTGACTTACAGGAGTAATGACGGTCAGGTCAGGGAGATGTAACTTACTGGAGTAATGACGGTCAGGTCAGGGAGATGACTTCCTCCAGCTTGTGGATGATTGCTCAGGATGACATCACCATCTTTAAAATTTTCACCAAGTGTTCTCATCTGTCAAAAGATATGAGAAATGTCATATAACACACGTATTGCATTTGTAATAGGGCTGAGCCGGGTGGAGATTTGTACACCCGGTCCTGGAATTTTGGGACCATACCCAGCAGATCAGAGCCAGGGTCTTACATGGAAGAAAAAAAAAGTTACCTTCTCATTTTCTTTAATGTGTTTAACCCAATGGTTCTCAACTATTTTAGTGTCGCCACCCTTTTGTCAAATTTACCAAGTTGTAGCAGCCAGCATTGTAACTTGAAATTGAGAAACAGGTGTCAAGAAGGGGAGAGGGGGGGCAGAGCTTTTTATATTTGGATAAAAAGGTGTTATTGAGAAACATGAGTCGAGAAGGGGCAGAGCTTGTTTTGTTGTAAAAAAAAAGGTGTTCCACTGTCATTTTGATCTGGGATGGAGGGAAGCAGAAATAAGGGCTAAGAAGGGAAGAAACTTCTGCAGAGAGAGGGGCCTCTGTAAGTCAATCCATAGTACTGAGCTAGCCCCAGTTACCTACCTGGTATTGAACAGTTTCTTGCATGGCACCCAAGTGCACTGGAATGTGAGGTGCATTGGCCACAAGACCACCATCAGGTCCAAACATTGCACAGCTGAAGTCCAGACGTTCCTATAAGAAAATACAAAATGAATGCCACATTAATTCCTTATCTAACTACAGTGATACATGTCTTTCATTTAGACATTTTGAATCATGCCCTAAATCAGCAGTTTGCAACTGGTGTGTCCCCAGGATTGACAGACGTGTCCCCAGGATTGACAGACGTGTCCCCAGGATTGACAATCTTGTTGCAAGAAAATTATGTGAATATACATAATAATCCAAGTTAACAAGGTACTGGTGGAGATTTTACCTCAACACCAATACGGAACTATATAACCCGTACAATCTAATATATTAATGATTGCCTTGCACTCAGACGGCGCTTCTTACTGAAAGTGCATGAATATATAATTAAATTAAACTTGAAAGTTTCCTAAGCATCAATAGTTAGTTAGTATTAAGTTTTATCTTATGCATTGCTCATCTCTGACAGGTTCTTTGTCTTTCATTTATAATCTGAGGTACACTACGGGGGGTGGGTGGGAACAATGTTGAAAAAAAAATACCACTGACACTTTAGTGTAACAACGAATACCTTTTTTCCCCCAATAAACATTTACTTTTGAGATCTACTTCATATGATGGAAAACTGCGGTTAACTTAAAGTTGGGTTGAAAATTTGACAGAATGTGTTATCATCGGCAACATGAGTCTGTGTGCCAAGTTTCAGATCGAAAGGATGACGGGAAGTGGGTCAATTAGCCATCCTAAGATTTTGCCACAAACACATGAACAAAATTGAAGAATTTAAAAAAAATGTGGGCTCAGCACAAATAGCAATTTGATTGGGTGGGCAGGTACGCCTAATATTGATAGATGTTAAAAACCATAGACTACGATTATTGAACAGAATGATCTTTAAAATATATTTTATAGCAGTGGTTGACAACCTATTTGAGTCACGGAACACTTTAACAGAGTTAATTTCTATAGTGGAGCCCTTTTAGGCTTGCTCTATGTCTTACAAGTTAATAGTGTTCAGGGGTGGTGTTAGAGGGGAGAGAGTGGCCGCGAAGCCCGTGTGAAGTACACGGGGCTCCACGGGGAACCACACTTTTATAGAATTATCAGATCTAACAGGCAAATACACCTGATCTTAGCCAGGCTTTCTTTACATTTATTCATGCATTTTTGTTATTCTCTTGTTATGTTATTCAAGATCCCACATATCTTTTTCTTTAGATTTTCTTTGACACAGCTTGAAGGCAGTCTCCATATTATATTTTCATTCCGCCTTCTGTTCGTCTTCCTCGCCAAGGAATGTCGGTTCTGTCCAATAGCTTCTCAGCTGGATTTAACTGCCAGACTAGAATGCTTTCTGTACCACAAATTTCACTGCATGCTTTAAAGGTGATTAGATTTTCGTGTTCAAACCTTACATCCTTCATCTGTAGTTATTGTGCTACTTACTAATCTACAACTGAATTGTGTATTAAATTTAAACTGTACGAACCTTAATATTGGTTGAAATTGATGTCCGCTGCAGAACTCTGAAAGCATAAGAAAACTAGATAAAGAGTTTAAAAATGAATCCCATTCAACAATTTATAAAAGAGGTTCTCATACTCAAGAAACTATAAGGGAAGCGTGAGGACAATAAGGATGTCCTGTGGGTCCTAAACACTACTTGATTAAAAATTTTAAACAGCTAAAAATTTGTGAAACCCATCATTAAGTGAGTTACTTTGGCGTGTACTGTGTTTAAGAGCCTTGGTTTTAATGCAAAAAAAGGAATTTAATTTCAGGGTTATTGCCAGATAATTTTGATCCAAATAATTTCCCAACAGTTAAATGCCCCTTTGTTAACAAGATACCCATGAAGTTATCTGCACATGTGTTCCGACACTTCCCCAACAGTTACCTGCCCATCTGTTCAGCCGTACTCATGAATCTGTGGGAGAATATTGAAAGTTGGATGGCGTCCAGATCCGTCCCCACAACTTTTTTGTGGGAGGTGCTGACCCTGATCCTCACATCTCCATGACGACTGACTTCAGCCAAGCAGTCGGGCTCAACTATGATAGTGCTGTGAGTGGGACAAGGTTGTAGTTCGACATGGCAATAGTTTAGTTATTTACAACTAAATACGTGTAGGTAGCTACATTAATCATGTGTTTGACCAAGCGTGTCTTAATGTCGTAAGTGACTAAATGGAGACAAATCTATTTACACCAAAAAGTCTTGAGCTACAAATTGGAGGCAAATATATTTACATCTTAAAGTGGTGTGTGACAAAATGGAGACAAATTTATTAACACCCAAAAGTCTTGTGTGACAAAGAAGACACATTTATGCCTAAAATTGCACAGTACCTAATAGGAAGGCATTTTTGTAGATACGAGGAAAGAAATACCTGTTTTTATCTATAATAATGGCTGGTCCACTGATCTGATGGTTGGCACACAAATTCTCCAGTATATATACATTAGTGCTGAGACAGCCCTCTTCAAAATAGCATGTCACAATCTGGAGAATAAATATGAAATAGGGCCACCCCTTTGACAAAAAACAACAGTTTCTGATGCTAAAGTGTAACAGATTTTGCTTTTGATATAATGTAAATGCAACAAAATCTGTAGGGCCATTCTTCTTTCATTACACCTTTAGCAAATAATAGGATCCCAATTTTATAGTATTTTGTTCACATAAGTGTATTTTTAAATTAAATAAAACTTTGATGGACCAAATGTATAAATAGACTAAGCAGCATACCCTATGTGTGTGAGAACAAATTTTGGATCAATGGATGTTGAAAAGTGACAAAACAAACAAAAATCACTCTCTCATGTCTAAAAAATAAAAACATTTTAAGTATCACTCTCTCAAGTCTAAAGTAATAAAAAGTATTTTTAAGTGTCAAAAAAAAAAAAAAAAAAAAAAAAAAAAAAAAAAAAAAAAAAAAAAAAAAAAAAAAAAAAAAAAAAAAAAATAAAAAAAAAAAAAAAAAAAAAAAAAAAAAAAAAAAAAAAAAAAAAAAAAAAAGGATAGACCCTTTTAAATTTAATTGTAAAATTTATTAAACCTTATGAAGAAAAAACCTAAAGTAATATTAAATTTTACGCTACCTTTTTAGGTTTAGGAGGCCCAGTTGATTCAGGTATCTCTATAGCAATGGCTGCCCGGGACTTCCCCACTCCTCTGACTCTGATGTCATCAACATATATTTTGCGATCTTTAAGTACAAACCCAAATTCTGTCTTGTACCTGCAGCAGCGCAAAGTTGAACAAGTTTTCAATGAACAAACCGCAGAGATTTAGGGAAATACATGTCAACGTAATTGGTTGTAAATAGGAATGTGACAGTCTGGAAATTTCAATGGAACTGTCAATTATTCTGATTATGAAAGCCATGATAGAAAATGCTCTGTAGATACTGGGAGGAGTGGAATAGTTTGAGTTCATTATGCCTGGGGCGGTCCTTGAATTTTGCACTTGTAATTAACAAAAAAACTAAAAAAATTAGCATTAAAATAAAAGCTGTATAAAGTATATGAAGTGGACGAAGAATGCCGCCCTAAAATAAGTTCTGCCCGGGACAGACCGCACCCTCTGGCCACCTATTTCTATTTCTGTGAATCTACTGTTCCATTACCTGGTTATGAATGCTGTATAAAAGTCGCCATGAGTGCTGGTCCCATCCTTGGCTGGGAACTGGTTAGAACACATGAGAGCACAGTCAGTTCCCTCGTAACGCAGATGCAAGAACGGCTGGGTCTCTATCTGTTCCCTAAGGGTGAACAAGGGAGCTTATTTTTTAATTGGGACAATATCCCTCCATTTGGTGGGATATCTAAAAAATAAACTCACCTAAATTTTAGAAGCTCCTTATGGCATTACACTTTTTGAATATTTTTTTTAATGGCATTCAGTAAATCAGCACTGATATTTTAAAAATTAGAATAGTAGCAGAAAAAAGTCATGCGGACGATGGTACCTGGTGAATCCTTGCTTTTCAAGCTCCTCATAACATTTCCTTTCCAAGACTTGAACCCTATCATCCAGCTTCCTCAAGTTTTCTGTGGTTTACAAAAATGAAAATGCATGAAACAATTACACAATTTTATGACAAGCATTTGTGGTGAGCAGCAGCTTCATTGGTGTGTTTCAAAAAAAAAAATTATTATTTAACTATTAAAATTGGAGCAAGTCTAATTCAGAAACAGCTGCATTCAATTCAACTATAGCAAAAGCAGATCTTTCCAAAAAAGGTGTAGGTGTGTCACATGACCATAAAAGGACATACATGAGTCAATGGGAAAGTGCAATACAAACTTCTCTTAAATTAATGACAGTCATAAAAATCTTGAAAATATATGTTGATTTGTTAAAAAATCATAAATTTTTAAACATATAAATGAAAAGATTTTTATATATTTTATTTTGCCATACATTTCATTATTACAATGCAACTTTGCCTGCCCATATCTGTTTCACAACAGGTTTAGTTAAACTTCCAGATTGTTAGAACAAATGAATTACTTTGTAGCAAAAATATGAACATCTGAAAAAAATGTGCCACAAATATGAAAACTTGGAAACCTTTGATTTCGAGGAAAATCGGAAAAATATATTATGTGTAACAGCCAAAAGACTCAAGAGATTTTAAATATATTTAATCAAATTTACCAGAGCTGTAGGTGCAGGATGCTGGCTCTTGTGCCTCATAGACAACATCAGCCAGGGCCATACCATAAGCAGACAAAATGCCAGCATATCTACAACGTTATAAAAGGTATAATCTTAGGGTTTTAAAAAACACACATTTTTTAAAAATGAAACACAGGAAGGAGGCAAAACAAAGCTGAGTGTGGTAGAAAATTGTTTATAGATTCTTTTAGTTACCCATATGAACATATGTACATCAGATCATGATATAGAGATTATACAATCATGCCCACATACCAAAAATCCAGTAAATGGTTTAAATTAAGAGAAATTGTAGAGATAATCTAGCACCTGAATCTTTGTGATCAGTATGATTACTTTGGATAGTCTTAGCTGCCCTTTAAATTGAAAACCATTTTTTTTGGTGTTACCAATCCTTTGAGAATAAGTAAAATAATGATGAAATAATGATAAAATAATGATAAAATAATTATGAAACCCCATGCCAACCTGTGAATGAAGACTTCCTGCATGCCAAGGGAACGTGCGATTGCACATGCGTGCTGTCCACCTGCTCCACCAAAACATGCCAGGATGTGACGGGATGTATCATAACCTTTGGCCTGTGCACATTTAAAGAACAAACTTACAAAGTTAACATCTAGCCTGTGTAGTTGTTGCACTGAGGCAAAACTTAACATGTGACTTTGTTCATTGCAGCTGATGTCACCTAATGAGTTTGTCAAGGTAAAATTCCATTACGAGCAATTATAAAAGTAAAAACTATATTTCTTGGTGGTAATACTATTTCAATAACTGTGAATTGAGAAATAAATATTTATCACTGTAACTGTCAATGTGAACTCTGTCAAATCCAATCTCAAAATCAGTTTTAATATTGCCCTGTCACAGGTACTTACTTGAGTCAGAGCTCTGATTGGTCGACACATTGTTTCATTAGCCACACGAATAAAACCAAGGCCTACTTCCTCCTTTGTCATTGGTGTGAACGTCACATGGTGGTCATTTTGTTGTGTTTTCAAAAACTCATTGACCTGTGGTTAAAAAAATTAAACTGTTTAGAGAAAAAATAATACATGAGGGACTGGAAGGAAATAGTAGCAGAAGATTTTTAGGAGCATGAAAAGGAAAACAAAAAGTACAATGAAATGCCATAGTCAGCAGACAAAGCAAGAAATAACAAAGAATGAGAAATTCAAAGACTTAGCTTGTCGGGTGTGGTCACAATCTTAGAAAAGTAACTTGTTTCAAAACAAAACTGCTACCAAAGAGATTACAGGAAGTAAAAGAATTTAGATACTGTTAATGTGAAATGCTAATAATTTTAAAGATTTCAAGTAGGAAAAAAAACCAAACAAATGAGAATAGAAATAGGGGAAAATTGAGGACTACTAGCAAATGAGTATTTGGTTGATGCCATGAGGTGAGATCGTACCAAAAATCAGAATTAACCTTTTTTCATTCTTCACTCTCGCTGGAAAAATTTGTTAAATGTAGAATCTTGTCTTTCTTCTTTAAAACAACACAACAACAAAAAAAATTAAAACTATTTTTAATATTAGTGTAAGAAGAAATAAATTTAAATTGATCGAAGCAAGAATTGTACTTCTTAGTCTCATACAAAAACAAGGTATTTTTTAAATAATGCTATACAAGGTAAACGTCCCCAAGAAACCAAACAATCGACAAAACAATTTGAATTTAGAAGGAAATAAAAATGAGTTTTGCAAATAAAACCATGAGGATTCTTTTTCTTTATTAAGGAAATCTAAAAAAACACTTTCTAAATAGTCGAAAAACAAATGTAAAGTAAAAATTATTTGTCCAACTGACTGTTTTACCTCATTTATAAATTCAATGGATACAATTTAATTATATATCCTTTCATTGCTCATTTATTATTAGGATTCCTGATGAAATACAGGTAATATTTTAACAGTATTTATTTTAGATTTGAAAAATCAAAGGTCCAAAAAACTTTGCCAATTAAAAAGTATGCTCCGAGACAAAAAGGCATGGTATATTTCTAGGAGTCACAGAGCCCAGTAAAACAATGCTCTTGAGATGTACAAAATTATAACTTAACACACAATAAAAGATAAACCACTCAGGTCAAAGGTTTGAATGATGGCTTGATCATGTATAATGTTCTTTTAACTGACCTCAGCAGTGAGTTTTTCAAAAGCACCAATGGTTGCTTCCTTATCCAGCGGCATGTCTTCACTTTTGCCAAAGATGTGTGGGAAATACTCAGGTAGCAAGCGCCCAAGACAGAGGTTGGCATCAGTGATGGTTAGTGGTCCCCCTGTTGTGAAGATTGTGGTTTAACTTAGTTTGGCTGTAAACATTTCTAGAACCTGTCTTGAGATGGTTGTTAACATTTCAAGGACCTATCTTAATTGGTTGAAACCATTTCCTGAACCTATCATAGGATGATTCCATACATTTCCTGAACCTATCATAGGATGATTCCATACATTTTCTGAGCATATCATAGGATGATTCTATACATTTCCTGAACCTATCATAGGATGATTCTATACATTTCCTGAACCTATCATAGGATGATTCTATATATTTCCTGAGCCTATCATAGGATGATTCTATATATTTCTGGGACTTATCTTAACCCATTGAACCTGTGATCCTGCTTTATCGAACTTTACATTAAACATCCATACCCAGCCAGACCGATATTTTGGTCTCACATACCTTACGCTAGATCAGGGGGCCGGGAACATTTTTGTCTGAGAGAGCCATGGACACCAAATATTTTGAAAAGTAATTCTGTGAGAGCCATACATTATGTTTAAAACTAAAAATTTAAGGAAATGAGTGCATTTTGTGTAATTTCAACACTAAAAATGCAATAATTATGTCTCTGAATTTTTAACATTGTTAAGCTGTTGCTAATCAATAATGAGTATTTCGTACCGTTAATGCGACTTTTTTTTATATAATCGACCATTTGTCTGCGAGCCAGATGCAGCCATCAATAGAGCCACATCTAGCTCGCGAGCCATAGGTTCCCGACCCCTGCGCTAGATTGACAGTCCCTATAAAATTGTGTTGTGAATACTGAAATCAGGGTTTACTACGAGACTAGCTAAAGGTTACTGTCATGGGCCCGACCATGGATCCATTGTTTTCATATGTTTTATTAATGATTTTATGAATAGAAGATGACAAAAAATTCAAAGATTGCTATTCTAAAAAACTAAAAGCCAAGCATGGCTGATGATAATGTAAATATATCAAAGGATTTACATCATGTTTTGAAAAATGATTCCAATAAAAGCAAATAAGACTCTGATTGTGAGGATTGATTGACTTCAACTAGGGCTAGTGCTGGAATGTGTGCTTTGGATAATCAAGAAAAAAAGATCTATCCCTTGTCTTAGCCCCGGGTTTTTAATGAAAATCAAGGGCATTAAAGTGATAGTTTCCATTGCTTTTTAAGACAGTTTTCTCCCTGAAATAACGTTTTAAAAGAAATGAGCAACTAACAGACAAGCTAAGAATGAAATGGAATTTTGTTTATGTGTCTATTTTCCCAGGAGCCCAGGTAAATGGATATTTTAGGACCAGGAGCCAGGGTACTAAAAGTTAAGATGGTTGAAATAATGTCCGGTACGGATCTTAGGATGGTTGTTCTGAATTCCAGACCCCATCACTGCCCTGTCATATAATATCCCTTACGTTAATTTGAAAGTCTCCATGCCTCAGAAAATTGCCTGGAATTCACAATGAGCTTGACATTGCCCGTACCTTTCATGTAGCAAGCAGGTCCTGGATGGGCCCCGGCGGACTCCGGGCCCACAACAAACATGCCTGACCTGAAGAACAGCATGGATCCCCCTCCCGCGGCGACAGTATTTATGTCCAGCTGTCAGGTGACAAAAAAACATTTAGAGAAATTTTCAAGATTCTTTTTGCCCAGCACCCAGTTAAAGATTAATTGCAATTCAACTTTAAGATGATGGAAACAAATCCGGATTGTTGAAATTTAAAATTAATCAAATTTACTTCAACTTTTGAAAGAGTTTAAAATAGCACAATAGCATGTTTCTTATAATTATGATTGAAATAAAGACATAAAGCACAAATAGTCTTTTTTCTTCTTGTGCAAAATTTTTTTTTTATAAATCCCTAAAGGAAACAAAAGGTTTACATTCTGATATAAGCTACTGTTACAATTTTTGAGATGGCCTGAAATTAAGAAGTTAAAATCTACGAATTATTATCAAACATACAGCGTACCTGTGGGGCCTGTATCGTAATGCCGGCTGTTGTGGTCTCGAAAACATGCTCAAACTCCCCAGCAAATCTGCTCACGTCTGTTGATGTGCCTGTAAATGCAAGCAGTTTCCCCCTCATTTCTTTGTTCCACAGTTTGTGTGTTTGTTTAAAATTCTAATCTCATGAACGGCCTCTGTGACAGTCAAATGGTCAAACAAATATTTTGCCAGACTGCATGTTCCCACAAAATGTGGTATAGGTGATATGGACATTTACTGAGCCACACTCTTATGATCAACTGTTTTGGAAAATTGACTTGCCTCCCATATCAAAGCCAATGACAGGTGTCTTGGTCTCCTTGCTGTATGTGGTCTCAGCATATCCCACCACGCCTCCGGCTGGTCCAGACAGTATGGCATGTGAGCCCATGAAGCTGTAATGAAAAGTTACAAAAATCTTGACATATTAGGACAGGTCTCTTGTTAAAATGTTGAACCTGAGAATGAGTCTTAACATTCCTAGAAGATATAGAACACTAGTTTATTTTGTTTTTGAATTGATGAGTTAAAAATAAATTTAAGGAAGCAGAACATCTAATGTTCAAACCATAACTTCAAAGTGTTGGGATAATTATTACTGTTAAAGTATGTTCTATTAAAATATATAATTTCTGGTTTTAACTAAATCTCATCTCCATTAAATTGCGATAATTTAAATTTAAAAAATAAAAATCTGAAATATTTTTATTTATTTGACAATACAAATTATTATACCAACAGCTAATACTAAACTAGTACCCGGTAACCATAAACCTAAATCTCTTTTTTTTTTTGCACGGCTAACCAAATTTAAGCCCCTCCCAAGTCGGAAGATGTCTGCTGTCTTTCTGGCAGATTTTATTTTTGTTTGGTATTTACCTCCTCCCAAAGAATATCTTTTAGTCCATATCAATGATTGGCCTTTAAGAATACCACTTGAATTCAATTTACATTTCATTGATTATCGGTAATGCACAATTGCAAATTTTTCTAGTGGACTTTTTTTTATTTTTATCTTTCCAGGCCATTGAACATTTGTTGTTGTGGATAACTTACAACCAATGGTTCTAAAATGTTTTACCTCTCCATGGGGGTCAATCCACCATCTGATCTCATAAAAAGCACTTTAGCTTTCTGGAAAATAACAAAGAATATTTAATTCCTTTTTTTATATAAAAGGGAGTATTTTACTGCATATGAGGATATAAAATAGAGTATAATTTTGACAACTTTAAATATAAAATTTTTTTTTTTTCCTTCCCAATGTGAAATTATGTTACACTGAGGTTAAGCTTTAACTACACAACCATTAAATTAGGAAAAAAAAAATTTGTTGGTACTTTCTTTATTGAAAAAGAATGACATTACTTTAATGGACCTGTCAATTACAAGTTGGTTCACATATTCTAATAAATTTTATCTGGAAATCACTTACAGAGAAACAGTGAACATTGTTTTTACTGCAGATTTTTAGCCTAAGCTGCATTCTATATATATTAATTAGAAAACCTTAGGAAAATTAAAAAAGAATGTATTTAAAATAAAAACGGTTACCTGGAGCCCAGATCTGAAACCTTCAACATATTTCTTGATACAAGGTGTGAGATAGGCATCCGCACAAGCTGGAAAGAGAAATAGATAGTAGTTATCTAAGCCTATTAAACCTTAATACCCTTTTTCTCTGACCATGATTTCTTTTCTGTTCTTACAACTTAAATGAACTTTTATTTTAGATTTCACTGGAGGTGTAAACCCTTTGGCTTTAATTTCAATTAAGATACATCAAGAGAACTTGTGGAACAAGTTGAAATAACTATATTTTGTAAGTAACCCTATAACAATAAAGAAATTCATCTGGGAAAGTTGAGAGAGGAAGACTATGGCAACTTTTTGAGTATAAAACAAAGCATGATGCAAAGTGCATTGTTCTGAGTTGTCTATCATAGTAAATGAATGATTACCAGTCAGTCCTAACATAAGGTTACAAAATAAAAAAAAATAAAATAAAGAAACCACTAACAACAGACAAACAACTAAACAGTTGACATAAATCAATGCAATTTTACATGAGGATTGACATCATCGACCATCAGCCTCACAGTCACATTGGTGGAACAGCACAACTATAGCATTTGGACTCTTGGAAATTTCCCATGGCACCTCACAGTGGTTTTGCATGCTACAGTAGGTGAGTGAAAAACAGTATCCTCTAGTGTGATGTATTCCATATTAATATTACCTGTGTAACCTCTGGGCACGATTCTAGCCATTGACATAACTTTGGAGGAGAGAGACACATTTGTGAAGCCCATGTCCAGGGCAAGCTTGCCTACTGCTTCTTCATGTCCAGAGAATCTGAGTGCAATAAAATACCAGAACATTTCATGATGGCATGGGGCATGAAAAGAATGTATTATAATTGTTTCGTTTTAAAAAAAATAAATTTTTTTTAATAAGTGTACAAATAATTGTGGAATGTTCTAAATTGGGGCGTTTTGTTTTATTAAAAAAAAAAGGCTTACATAATACATGAATGCATAAAAACAACAGCAAGACTTTTGATGCCTTTGGAATTTTTGTCTCATTAAAAATAAAATTACTTACATATATGAATGTATAAATACTACAGCAAGACTCTTGATGCCTTTGTCCAGCACATTTTGTAAATCCCCCTTGAGCTGATCTAAATTCAGTGTCCTCCAAATTGAAAGCTGAGGAAAAGAAAAGTTTTTGCCCAAATTATCTTATGGTCTTTGTAAAACAAAAAACACCAACAAATATTTAATTAGTTCAAAGACCTTAAGATTGTAATACTTTTAAAGATGACAAGTAAAAGAAGTAAAAAGAAAAAAAAACAACAACAGAACAAAATCATCCATTACCAATTCACCAGTGGAGCCGGTGACTTCCGTTGAGTGCTGTTTTATTTGACAGTCTTCTCGATGTAGTACACATCTCTCATCTACTTCAACCACCTCTTCATAGAGATTTTCTGGACACACTATCTCCTGTTAATGGATATTATTATTATCCTTATATTTCATTACAAAATAATACACTAAACAGGCAGAATTAAGTTTTCCAATTGAAGATTTTGAAAAACAGGTGTTGGATTTCGACATGTTAATCCCTACAACAATATAAATTTATAGAAATAATTTTTTTTGGCTCCTGATAAAAAAAATATCCAACTCTGTCTAAAAGGTCTCTCAAGAATATGCTTATGCCCGAATTAGTCCATGTACTTAAAATATAATGCATTATAGCAAGATACAAAATTTTAAAAATAATATAACTGATTTCACCATTACCAAATCAAATATATTGGGTCGAGCCTGGTTTCCAATGTGAAGCAAATCTCTGAAGCCTTTAGTTATCACAAGAGCCATTGGTTCACCTTTTCTCTCTAGCAATGCATTTGTTGCTACTGTAGTTCCCATTCTGATCCAGTCTATCAAACTTGTGTCGATCGATGCCTCTTTTGATGGCAAACTGTTTGTTTCCTTTAATGATTGTGTGTTAAATTAAGAAAAGAATAATGAAACATAATTAGTAATAAACTTGAAATTAATTCATGATTACATTTAATGTAAATAGATGTTTTTAATTTTATAAATATTTTATTTATGAAATTTGTAGGTCTATTCAGTAGTAGATATAAGTTTTAAATGTTTATTTTATTTATTCATTAAGAATGGCTAGTAAAAGTTGTATTGCATTTTCAGGCTTCTTAACCAGGCTGTTACTGGACTCTATAGCTAACACTTCAGATAATATGTTGACAGACCTTATCCACTATTTAATATGCTGAAAGCATGGCACCCCTATCATGACCAGGACAGTAATTCCATAAAACATTTGAATTTTAGAATTATAATTGAAAGTTTTAAGCATTCTGTAAATCAGGTTAATTTATTTAGATAAAGTTCATGCATACTAGTATAAAGTGTAGACATTTTTTAGTTTGGGGTTGGTCTTTGAGTTTGTATCTCATTTTATTAATATCTGTGAGTCATGAGCCACAGTGAGTTGACATGATTTTCTGTGGGTAAATTTGAATTATACCGACTACTCTGTAGGGATTTACTCTGCGCCTTCCCATTTATCATGTTTTAAGGGACAGCATTTCCATTGATGATATGATATAATTATGTTGTCTTTTCATGTTGAAGAGTTCTCCAACCCGGCTAATCCAACTGATCCTCTCTTGTATTGTGTTTTCTGCTCATCTTATATTTTCATTTACTTTTACTAGTTTTACTTCATAATAATATAGACTAGTAGGCTATGGATTATCCAAGATCATAATGCCTGTAAAGTAGGCACAGTAGACTTTTAGAACTAATTTATTATTTAAAAAAATATATTCTGATATTTTTTGCCCCTCAAGTCACTCAAAAGAGCTGAATAATCATTAGGGGGCCTATATATGTATATGAATATATATATATATTGCGGCACAGGAGATCGTCCATAAAGGATGTCCATAGAGGCGGGCAGGGGGGTTTGTTCAAATGCTGACAAATGCAGTCAAGGGGAAAGGGGTTTAACAGGATTTGCAGATGTCTACAAAATAGCTTTTTTTGTTATATGTGGGGGTAAGCCACATGCCGATAAGTGTGGTTAAGTGCCAACAAGGGGAAGGGATCATGGAAAAGATGCACACTGAGACGGACCAGTGCAACTTCATGCCGGAGGAGTGTGAAACCTGGCTGGCTGAGAATGCAACAGAAATTGAGTTTTTCGACAATCAGGGTCAAGTGATTGTCACAGAAATTGAAAAACCTAAATATTTCTAGCAAAAAATATCACGTTGACCATGGAAAGTGAAGAGAGGGCTACTATGTTTTTGGTCACATAGAAAGAGAGAGAAGGCACTCTTTTCTTGTTTAAATGCCAGATATGATCACTTTACAGGAGTGCAGATATATTCTACCAGGTTCACATATTGTCTTGGCTGGATGGTTTGCTTATACAAACATATAACATATCAAATATTCGGTTATGGTCTACTGAAAAACTTCATTGATGCAGGCGTCCACACATAGAATATAGAATGAAGATGTGGATGCACGCGAAATGCAAACTGAAAAGAAAGTTTGTCAACAGTTGAACTCTTTTCCCTTTTTATTTTCATGAGTTGATTTTCATGAGTTCATGTTCTGAAACTATTTTTATGGAATTATATTCTCAGAAACTTCAATGAAATGTTACTTAAGTCAACTCAAGTCTAAGCCTTATGACTTAGACTTAGGGAAAGAACTATAATTTGCCATGCAATGATGCATACATATAATTTATATTGTAAACTTGAACTCAGCTTGCATTATCATTAACATTATCAATAAAAGAATATCGGACGCTGAAGTGCTATTTTACCTATAAAATACTTACATTAACTAAGAGTACTACTACTTCAGATATATAAAAAGATAAAATTAGTATTAGTATTAACTTTTTTTTATGGGCTTTTCCAGGCTTTTATTTTACCTGCTGTATTATTCTTCGTATCGCTTCTTTAGGAGCATCTTCATAGTTAGCTGGGTCCTCGGATAAAAGCTTCATTAAACGAACTTTTCCATTTGGACATTTTGCCCAAATGTCAGTAAAGGTGCCACCTCTGTCGATTGCAAATTGAAATTTACCAATTCCAGACATTGTTGCATATGAACTCACTTATTCTGATTTGTTTGGTTTCTTTCGTTTAAATCACACACACACACACACAAACACACACACACACACACACACACACACACACACACAAAGTGGTCTGTCTTCTTACCGAGCATCAACTATAAAATCGAGATGCGATACTTTGAACCACTTGCAGTCGCTTTAAGAAAAAAAAAATATTAAAAAATCTATTGAGTATCATATATAGGCTAAATATATGAATTATGGTATATATATATATTTAGAAAATGGCATTCAAACTTAGAATGGTACCAGTGGAACCATGGAATACAATGTCTCACAGGCAAATATTACTGAAACATTTAAACATTTAAAAACCTAGGGGACATCCATATAGGTATGATATGGTAATCATCATCATCATGTTCCTCAGTGGCGTAGCGAGGGTGTTTGGCGCCCGGGGACAAGATTTGCGCCCGGGGACAAGATCCATTTTAAAGCGCCCTCTTTTCTTTTTTTAAACTCTCAAACCCATTATTTTTACCAATAATATAATATCAAATCACATTTTGGCGCCCCTAACTAGCTTGCGTCCGGGGACATCTGTCCCCCCTGCCCCCATCAACATCTGTCCCCCCTGCCCCCCATCGCTACGCCTCAGATGTCGCTTAGTCCTTGGAACGTTGGGGCGCCACAGAGGACATGTAAATTATCCTCCTCCATTAGTCTCCTCCATATGGTAATATGATACGCAAAAAATTCAAATATTCGTCCCCACCCCCTGTTTCATGCGTACTTTTTGGATACCCCACCCCAATGCGTACGTACAATTAGCTTTCAACCCCAGCCACCCACCCACACACACACACAAACAACAAATAAACAAAAAATAACAACTAACAAACGAAATCAAATAATTTATAGATAATTATGAAGTCACAGAAATAAACAAAATTTGTCAAATCTTGTTACCGACGACTGTTTGGCGAGCCCAGTGGTTCCCAGAATATACGCCATGAAGCTCTGGGTGCCATGTTGCCCTCGGACAGAGACATTAAAATGGGGAGGAGAGGCTAGTCAAAAGGCAGGGGCGTCATTTTAGGTTTTTTTTAAAAAGTGTGTGTGTGGGGGGGGGGAACCAAAACTTGGTCGGCTTGTTAAGTTGTTTATTACTAAAGGTGCCACAGTACCTAGCAATTAAAAAAAACCCACTGCAAATTCAGGGGAGGGGAGTTGCAAATGCCCCACCCTGCTTTACCCAAATGATGTCCATGGCAGTCAAGATCAAGGGCATCAAAATTGTCTTTAGATAAAGCCTTAACAGTGAATTAATCTATATAATCTCATACATATAAAAAAAATACAATGAGCACTAAAAATCTTATTATTACGGGTCCGCCCGGGGGGGGGGGCACTTTTTCTATAATCTATATATTAAAGAGCACCATTTTCCGGTTTACTCCCCACGTGCCCCTTGTATTATTCGACGTGGCCCTGCCATGATTTTCTTCAGCTTCGTCGCCGGTGTGCTTCGAAATATTACACAGTTTTCATTAGTGTGTTTCTACTTTTACTCCAGCGTGACATCCAGTGGTCTTGGTGCAATCAGTAACCCACGTGAGTCACTACTGTTTGCAGTCATTAAGCGGACGCTTAGTGACATACATACAGGGTGCCCCCCCCCCCCCAAAAAAAAATATAAAAAATAATGTGACAACTTCGCTAAATTGTCAGAAGCATAACGAGGCGCCAAACGCTTACAAAAAGTCGATGAGAAGAAGGGAGAGTGAGGGAGAGGAGGGGGGGATAGTGAAATACATACAGGGTGCCCCCCCCCCCCCAAAAAAAAATATAAAAAATAATGTGACAACTTCGCTAAATTGTCAGAAGCATAACGAGGCGCCAAACGCTTACAAAAAGTCGATGAGAAGTAGGGAGAGTGAGGGAGAGGAGGGGGGGCAGATTGAACATGTTTTCTGATTCGGAGTGGCGATAGGTACCCGGGCAGCAAAACGCTATTCGGACCCAGCTGGTCACGTGAGGTCTTTATGGATTCGGTATGTCACGTGACGTTTATGACGGCTACTTCCTGTTGGTTTGCCATCTTACTTAGAGCCATTATTATCAATCGAGAAATGTGTCACATTTTGAAGACATTATGTAGCATTAAAGAAACACACAGACCAATGTGACGTACAGCTAAAAGCAAGTAAGAATACGTTTATGTTTATAATTTTATTGTATTTTTTAAATTCTATATTAACATGACATCAATCAAGATTCAAGAGCAAAGTTGTTTTTTTTTTTTTTAGGCGGCAAATCGGCTACTGTCTTATCTGTAATTGTAATGAAAAGTTTGGCTGCGGCTATTCGAACCCGGTATCAGAAGTGGATACTTCAATTTTAATTCACCGCAAAAATTATTATTATTCACACTTCCCATAAAACAAATGTTCTTTTGAATAAAAAACAATTCGGAGAGATCAGCCCGCGGCCGCCATCTTGGTTATCGTGACCCAGGAACTTATGTCCTAAATGTAGGCACTTGAATACAAAATTAAAAAAAATTGAAATAATTTTTTTAATAACACAGTTAGTTAGAGCAAATTCAAATTAAAAAAATGAAACCAGAATCAACTTTTTAGCTTAAGTTAGGTAGTTCGGTAAGATCCGGGAAGTGCCGAAAACCGGGTATCGTGACTTACCGTGACTTATCGTGATTTCGTTGTCAAAATGGCGACCTCCACTTTTTAATTTACGGAGGGTCACTTTGATTACGACTTTTTAACTATATATAGCCCAGCATGTTAATTCTATTTCTGCCCACAACTTAGAGTAGACATGTTGTGTTATGATTAGACACTTGATTTGAGTCCCCCAAAAAATTTTGGGCTTCACGGCTTCACTTTGAAAATTGAAGGTAAAATAACGCAATTTTTACTCATTCATATTTTTGTGTGGAAAGGATCCTTTCTTTGAATTTCAGGGACTTTATGAATAATGGCATTAACTACAACATATCCAAGACATGCTAATTTAGGCCCATCAGTTTGGTCAGAAATTTACTCGGAAATTTTAATCACGTGCGTCCCAAAATTACCTATTATTGTTAATATTTGTTACTATGGTAAATAACCTGATTTATTCTGGAAATCAAGCCTATTACCTCCTAATAAGTCATTTAAAAATAAAAAGAAAATAATTAATAAAACAAACACATATTTTTAATATGATTTAATGCTTTTATTGTGGGATATTAGGTTATAAAAGCCTAATTAATTACAATTAATAGTTAACTATTAGTTTTATATACTGTTATATGTATACTATTATCTATATATATACTAAATATACATATATAATATATATGATATATGTATGTATGTATATAGAGGCCTAGAATAGTATTCCTATTATAAGTGTATGACTTATTTTTTCCACCCCCTCAATATTTTGTGAATTGTGTTTTATT